ATTGCATAACTCACCTTCCAGAAGGTAGCCTGAAGGAATTCCAGCACAGCAGCTTCTTGTTCTGTAGCTGTCCTTTCCCTCCTTCATACACCCAGGAGAATCAATCCTGCATTAAAAAAACCCAAAGAATAAAAGGAGGATTCTTATGAACCTGCCTCCAGACAAATTACTGAGATGACAGATGTAGAAGGAAAGGTTTTCTTCTTCCTCTTGTAACCTTCACATCACCTACTGTTTCAGTTCAGTCACCAAAGCTTTTACTTCTCTCTCACTATAATCATACTGAGATAATAACTTAATTCAACTTGTATTGTCATGCAAAACCTTAGAGATGACCTCTGTTAAACAAGAGTGCTTGTCTAACTTTACAAGTCCTCAAAATCTTTTTGAAGTCACAATAAATGCTTTGTGTGGTAGAGTACACTGGATGAGATTGGTTCTTTTAACTTAAGAAGTAACAGAAATGCCAACTTGATGGTGAATTTTCCTGTTCTCATCTTTTTCTTCCCATTTAGTGATAAGCAACGGCATTGATGTAGTGCTCAAAATAAAAGTATCAAACAGCCTTAGCGAAAGCATGTGCCTGCCCCAGTCTGAATCAGGCCTGATTGTGCTTTGTTACCTTAGAACATGCATTGTCTTTTGTTAATATCCTCTTTGTGCTTAAATTCTCCTTTAAAAAAAAAAAAAATGAAAACCAAGGTAGACAGCACCTAAATACAAGCAGCAGAGAAGCTTCAGAGCTCTCTTAAAGTATAGGTAGGACAACAAAAATGAAGAAATAAAATTAACAATACTCTTTTCTTCATAGGAGGTCACCTTACATAAAACTGTAGATAAAAGTACAGTTCATCAAATCTTCTTGAAATCACTGTACCCCTACAACCTGCTCTAGAATCACATTTGCATCAGTAGAGGTTTTGGCTACAAAGCAAATCTAAATCACTTCATTGTCATTGGAAACAAAACCTACCACAAGATCCTCACTACACATACAGGTATGAAAATGGAGAGATACAATATTCAAATGGAGAGATACAATATTCAAAGTCATTTCACCGTACAAATTTTCAGTCAGACTTTAAAAACTGACATAGAGATTTCAAGGGAGGTCAAGACCTTGGAATTTCACCTAGCACACTAAAAGCTCAACGTACAATTCCTCAGATTCAATTCTTGTTCAATTAAGTGCAAGAAGGAATTCCAGGCTTTCCTTTTTGGCTCTGAGTGCTTTTTTCCTCTTCCTTTATTTCCACAGAAATACCAACACCATGCACTGCAAATGCAGATCAAAATGCAAGATACATTTTCTTGCCTCATATCACTGTTGAGCATCTCACACACATCAGTGCATGCTCCTATTCTCAGTACTTTAAAGAGAAGTAACCAGAAATAATGTGGTGAAGCACCACATTGAGTTCAAAGAGTGAAAAACTTGGCTTGAACTACTCTCTACAATGCTGTTTTTTCACCTGCCAGCACAATTTGGTTGTACACATATAAATAGGGCTACAAAAACAATCTCCTATGCATGGTGCCATTTTTGATGCACTGTCTGCTTATTGCACCTTCTCCACTGCTGCAAAGTGAAAGTACATGGCATTTGGCTGAAGTTTCAATCTTAAGGTGCTGTTATAGAGGAGGTCCTCACAAGGAGCTAATGTGAGAGGCTTCAGCACAGAAACAGTAGGAGTGTCTTACACTCTGTCACTCCTCCTCACCTCCACCAGTGAGTGTAGCCTGACCAGGCTGTAAAGAAGTTGTACTTCAGCAGCAAGAGTAAGACACTGATCTGACAACTTGTTTGCAGCAAAGGAAATTCTCACTAGATATGAGAAAAAATTCTTCCCAGGGAGAGTGGTGGAGTGCTGAGGCAGGAGCCCAGAAAAAAACGAGGTAAGAGGTTTCCTAAATGCAGCTGGACAAGGAAAGTCTTGTGCAACCCTTGGGGTTGGACTACAGACCTCCAGAGGTCCACCCAGCTGAATTACCAGATGTTATCAATCAGAGCTTGCATTCAGTTTAACACAGAAAAAACCTACCAACACACTAAATCAGCATGAATGTGTTTTACGTGTCTTGGCCTCAGCATTTATTTATTTTTTTCATTTCCATACCATCTAAGAACCACAGTCAAAGAGCAGACCTTTACTACAGTAAGTAGTAGAAGAAGTACACAATGCACACTATCATGAAAGTGTTTTGATAAATCCACTAGATGCAATTCAAGAAGAAACTGAGCTATCACAGCCAGCCCTGGATAAAGAATGGTTGAAAGACCTGCTTAGAGCAGCCAAAGCTCCTAAGATGGTAGTGCCTTTCTCCCTCAGCCACAGATCTCTTCTGCAAATAACAACACATTCCTTCCTTCACTCCTACCCCCAGTGGGTCAGGTTTCCTGGCTCATCAGGGATCCTGTCCTCCAGATGTTGGCAGAAGAGAGCACAACTCAGAGATCTTCCATTCCTCCTTGCAGTGCTTCAGCAGCTTCACAGCATCCTCTGCTGCCAAAGAGCAGAATCAGATCAGAAATGAGAAAACAGACTTAGCCTTCAAGCAAACATTATCGCTTTATACAGACAGACACTCCCCCCAGTTACCCTACAGTGAAAAGAGGCAGATAACGAAGATCCCTGATCTGCAACAGGGATCAATCTCCATGCCTTCCCCAGAGCCACTTTTGAAACTGACCTACTCTTGGGTACTACAGGTGCAAATCAGTCCTGAAATGCCAGAAGCTCACTGTGTCCAAGGAATAGTCCCATACCAGAGTACAAACCTTGCAGGCCTGGGCCTTTTTATGCAGTACCTTTAAACATCTGGCTCTACATAGCCCTTTTCCTTATTATTCTGAATTCTTATTTTCACATAATTACAGAATGGGTCAGGTTGGAAGGGACCACTGGGGGTCATCTGGTCCAACCTCCCTGCTCATGCAGGGTCATCCTAGAGCAGCACATTGCAGAGGATTGCTTCCAGATTGTTCTTGAATATCTCCAGTGAGGGAGACTCCACAGCCCCTCGGGGCAACCTAGTGTCTAGTGTGCAGGCACCCACACAGTAAAGAAGCTCTTCCTCATGTTCAAGTGGAACTTCTTTGCATCAGTTTCTGCCCATTGCCTCTTGTCCTATTGCTTGGCACCACCAAGAAGAGCCTGGCTCCATCCTCTTGGAACCGTCTCTTTAGATATTTATACACATTAATGAGGTCTCCTCTCAGCCATTTCTTCTTGACACTGAACAGACCCACCCCCCTCAGCCTTTCCTCCTAAGAGAGATGCTCCAGTCCCTTAATTTTTGTCACCTGTTGCTTCTCCAGCAGATGTCAGGGTAGTTAAAGTCCCCCACCAGGACTAGGGCCTGTGACTGTGAAGCTGCTTCAAGCTGCCTGTAGAAGGCCTCATCAACTTCCTCCTCCTGACCACGAGGCCTGTAGCAAACACCCACAATGATGTTACCCTTACTAGTCTGCCCCTTTACCCTAACCCATAAGCTCTTGCTCATTGTCCACCCCAAGACAGAGCTCGATATATTCCAAGTGTCACATAGAGGGCAACTCCACCACTGCACCTGCCTGGTCTGCCTCCCCTAAACAGTGTGTAGCCCTTCATGACAAAATTTCAATCATGCAAGCTATCCCACCATATCTCTGTAATCACAATGAGATCAAAGCCCTATGACTGCACACATATCTCTAGTTCCTCTTTTATTAGGAAAGAAAACATGCTTCAACTTTAGAGAAAACAAAGAAGGTATAAGTATGTGCCCTCTAAGATCCATGGGGAATATTCCCTTTGCACTAAACTGGTGGTCCCACAAAGTAGTCAGGTTCTAAAATCTGTGAGTTTATAAATTTCTAAAAATTGTTTCTAAATTTCTAAAACCAGCAATGCCACACACAGGAGAGCAATTCCACATGGTTCACAGGATAGCTCAATAAAATATATCACTGCCCCTATTCCAGCCATGCCTGGCCCTGTACAAGCCTTTACTCACACAAGTGACTATGCAGCCCCAAGCAGCTGCAGTGATCCTACCGAGTTATTTGAAAGCAGTACGCAGAAATGTTTCACGGGCACAAACACAGCATAACCTGCTCTCCCAAAGCCACGCTGGGTGGGCTGCAGTACCTCAGCACTCTCTCTACAGGTGCCTCTCCCTGCCACAGCATCCACACGGCGCAGGCAGCCCAGCTCCGGGGGCACCCAGCCGGGATGGTTACAGGGCACTTGCACTGCCCCATGGCACCCAGTGAGGGCAAGCTACCCTGTACAGACACGTATGAGCCAGCAGTGTGCCCAGGTGGCCAAGAAGGCAAATGGTATCCTGGCCTGTATCAGAAGTAGTGTGGCCAGCAGGACAGTGATTCTGCTCCTCTACTGTGCACTGGTGAGGCTGCACCTTGAATCCCGTGTCAATTTCCGGGCCCCTCAATTCAGGAAAGGTGCTCAATTGAGGTGCTGGAGCAGGTCGAAAGAACGGCAACAAAGCTGGTGAAGGGGCTGGAATGCAATTTTTATGAGGAGCAGCTGAGGGAATTGGGATTGCTAGGCTTGTGGAGGCTCAGGGGGGACCTTATCACTCTCTACAACTGCTTGCAAGGAGGTTGTAACCAGGTAGGGGTCGGCTCTTCTCCCAGGCAATGAGTTACAGAACAAGAGGACATAGTCTTAAGCTGTACCAGGGAGCTTCAGGTTGGACATAAGAAAGAATTTCTTCACAGAAAGGGTGATTGGGCATTGGAATGGCCTGCCCAGGGAGGTGGTGAACTCACCGTCCCTGGAGGTGTTTAAGGTAAGACTGGATGTGGCACTTACTGCCATGGTCTAGTTGACATGGTGGTGTTGGGTCAAAGGTTGCACTCGATAATCTCAGAGGTCTTTTCCCACGTAATCGATGCCCTACACAGACAGGGCGCGCAGCCTCTCCCACCGGCCGCGCCCCGCCCCGGGCCCGGCCGCCACGGCCCGCCCGCCGGCCGTGCGGTGCCGTGCGCGGTCATGGCGGCGGCTAGCGCGCTGTTCGCGGGGCTGTCCGGGGCGCCGTCCACCCTTGTTCTTGCCCGGGCGCTGAGCTCCGCGGCCGCGGCGGCCGGCGCGGGGAGGGCGGCGGGCGCGCGCTGGCGGCCGCGGGGAGCGCTGGGCGGGTCGGGCTGGCGCTGGGCTGTGGCGGCGGCAGACCGCGCGTGGCGGCGTCCCGGGAGGACGAGGAGGACAAGGAGCTGCGGCAGCGGTTCATCGCGCCGCCCGTGAGCGGTGCTGCAGAGCTGCGGCGGCGGCGGCGGGAGCTGCGGAGCGCATGGAGCTGCTCATCATGGAGACGCAGGCGGAGGTTGGCCGCGCCCTGGCCGCGCTGGACCCCGGCGCCTCCTTCTCCGTCGACACCTGGGAGAGGAAGGAAGGTACGGGGAAAGCCGCGGGAGACGCCGCGGGCACCGGCACCCCGGGCTCGGTCACCCCGCGGTGACCCTGCCCCTGGCCTTGGCAGGCGGAGGCGGCATCAGCTGCGTACTGCAGGACGGCGAGGTCTTCGAGAAGGCGGGCGTGAATGTGTCCGTCGTGTCCGGGCTCCTGTCCGAGGAGGCAGCGCGGCAGATGCGGAGCAGGGGGAAGTCTCTGAAGGCCAAGGACGGTAAGGTGTCCGGCCGGGAGGTGGGGTAGGGAACCGGGACACGTTCACCTGAGTATTCCCGTGCGGGACTCTCAGCAGTCCTGGCCTTTGAGCAGAACCTGAGGAAAGCCAGACGGATCAAAGATCGAAGGGTTTCATTTGTATCAAGGTGATTTCTAACCAGTAAGCCTAACAGGTGGACTTCCGTATCCCTAAAAAGCCATGTATCAGAGTGCTTCTCTCTCCGTCCTGCTGCTTCAAGGAATGCATTATAGGCACGGGTGATTTCTCAATAATGACACTGTAGCTTAATAGTGAAACAGTGCAGGAGTTATGTACCAAAGAGGTGAAGGGAGGGAACCAACACCACCTGAAGGCTAAAGAGCACTCAACCCATGTTTGTGTAGCAAAGGGCAGTTGTGAGGACTGGGGGTGGCTGAAACCCTTAGCAGTGCCTTATGTTTTAAATGGTCTTCATTTAATGGGTTCTCTAACATGTTGCTGCATTTTAGGACTAATACCAAAAAAAGGTGCACAGAAGAGCGTGAATGAGAAGTGAATTGCACATTTACTAATAATTATGGTGATCCAACATGAGAAATTTTCCTGTCACGAAACCTAAGGAAAAATAGCGATGTTCCTTAAATGATAGTAAATGAAGTTTCTTGAAAAACTAAAGGGCTTTCTTGGTGCATCTCTTTATCTAGGGAAGCTGCCTTTTTGCGCCATGGGTGTGAGCTCCGTTATCCATCCAAAGAACCCTCATGTTCCAACCATGCACTTCAACTACAGATACTTTGAAATTGAAGAAGCAGACGGTAAGAATTTTAATCCAATGAAGCATGTATGAAATGTTCATGTTCCTCCACATGGAGGAAGCATGAATGCATGGCTAGGGTAAGAGGTTAAGAACCAGTCCAGGTTTGTTCCCAGCTGTGCCAAGAATCTGTTGTTTAGCATTGGATCTCCTTATCTCTGGCCTTTGTGCATTTGTAAAATGAGCATAACGAGTGCATGTGGTAGAGTAAAAGGGGTTTGCTTTTTGTAGAGTATGCCAGGGGTTTCAGATCGAAGTTAAAAATGTAGGAGGTTGTAAATAAATGTGAAATACATTCAGAGCAGCAATCCTAGAATTTAGAAGAAGAAATGTTTGTGAAGGGCTGATAAACATTCTGGTCATGATGTGCCTTTGTCTCAGCAGCTGGAAGGACGTACTGTCAGAAACACTGCTCACTAACTGCATTGTGCCTTATTTCCCCAAGTTTCTGCAACTTGGCACTGTCAGAAATGGGACCCTTGTCTAGGTGGTCCAACACTGAAGGGCCATCTGTATCTTGTGACAGTTGTATGTACTGTCAGAAGCTCAAAGAGAGTTTTCTTTCAGTTGTTTTGCCACAGCATTATGGATCATTTCTAGCCAGTTACTTCCCTGGATGTAATAATGATGTTCCCTTTCTTTGGCACACAGTAAAATGTTTCTGCATTCTTGAATAAGAGTTGCCAGCCCATCTTGTGAAACTGATATTCTGTAGTCAGGATCAGTGGTCCAAAATACTGAATGAATGGTTTTAACTGCTTTGAAATTTCTTTCATGTTTTCCCGAAGTCACTGGAAATGGAAGTTCACTACCTTGAAGTCACATTTTTCATGACTGAGGTTTAGGGGCACCACTGAATAATGATTTTGTTTTGTATTTTAAAAGTAGTTGTTAATGCTACGTGAACCTTGCTGTTTAGAAGTGTAAAAGAAAAATGTTGCTGCTTTCCTCTCTTATAGGAACTAAGCAGTGGTGGTTTGGTGGTGGGACTGATCTCACTCCAACTTACCTGAATGAAGAGGATGCTGTTCATTTTCACAAGACTCTGAAAGAAGCCTGTGACAAGCATGATCTGAAGCTGTATCCCAAGTACAAGAAATGGTATGTGGGGAGAGATGCACTTGGGGGGGGGTAGAAAGCAGCACTAGATGTTGCCAGTTAAGTGTACTCTAAGAACTGTAGGTTCTGCTGCCTTTTAAAAAGTATCAGCAAACCCTAAGAAAAATTAGCGGAAGTGTACTGGGACAAAATGTAGTCTGAAGAAATCTCTTATTTACAGAAGCCTGTCAGCCCTTTCAAATTAGGGGGCTGACAACTAGGATCATAAGTCTATAGCCCAAATAAAAACCAGGCTGACTCTACAAGAGTGGTTGTAAGCCACAGACTTCACTAGGCAACTTAAAAATTCCTTTTAACCTCTAGTGTTAAACTAGGACAAGATTTTTTCCCCATGGACTTGCACAAATCCTGCTTACAGTGAGCTCGTGGTAAATGTGCATGATTCAGTGTGAGCTCTTGGGCCAGCGTTGTGGTTCTGAAAATCCCACTCAGATTTTTCTGTCTTCACTCTGACCATCATGGCCTGTTTTGTTTTTCTGGTTTTTTCCAGGTAAGTAAAGGAGATTGTCCTTAATGTAGAAGCTTCATAATTTAGATGAAGCTGTAGTTTTTTCCCTGGTGAAAAATTCACTGTGAGTTCAACAGTTCTAAGATGCAAACTTTGAATGTTCTTCTTGAGCTAAGAGATACAAGTGATCTGATCCTTCACTAGTAATGGGTGGCTTGCTGCTCTGTGTCTGATAATCCTATCTGCCCCAGGCTGTGGTATCCAGGAAGGAGGGGATACCCTTTTGTAAGGCACTAGGTCTCCTCTGAGGACAGGAGATAAAGTGGGTGTTATAGTTTGGGTGGCAACCACTTAATAAGGAGATACAACTTAGAACCTTGAGATTACAGTCTTGTTCTCTGAGGAGTTTTTGCATGGTAGTTCAGAGTATGTGCCTTAATGGTCAGGTCTTTTGCAGCCTAAGTAGGCAGGTGGGGGGTGGGGGGTCGGAAACCTTTTCCCACCTTTCTCAAAGATAAAAGCTGTTGTTACATTTACCACATTATCTTCCTGATCTAGGTTTAAGACTTTTGTCAGGCTTCTTCTCTTTTTGCATTTCTCACTCAGCCTTTTTACTTAACTCTTCCTGCTGCCATTAAATAAAAAAGCTGATTGTCACAGTGAATAAAAAAATAGCTTACGTTAGCAGTTACATCTCCATGTCTCTTCTGCTTTGGCCATGCCATATATATTGCTTGAGAACGATTGAGGATGGACACATGTATGGAAAACCAGTTCTAAAAGAAGGCAAGGTGTTCTTAATGTTGATGGTTTCTGCTTCCTTTTTTCTTTCCATTTCTTTTCTATGTGAAGACTTTCAGGGCATGACTGCCCAATAAAGCAACTATAAGCAAGATAGGGTGTGGATACAATGAATCATTTATATATAGTAATTGCACAGCTACATACCCCCTGTAAATACAAAAGAGATTAATTGCCTTTCTATTGTAGAATAAACTGCCCTTACACACTTATAAACTTGAACATAAGCCATGAAAAGCCACTGCTATGATGACTCAATCTTACAAGTTTTAACTATTAAAAAGCCTTTTTCCAAGGAAGGCTGCCATGACACGTGCTTTCTTATCTGGTCTTAGGTTTTTAGATTCCTTTTGTTTTGATGAAGAAAATCAATTCTTTTACTAGAATGGCAAAAATAATAAAGAAATTCTCTTCCAAGTCTGAATTAAACTGAAAGCTGTACAAATAATTTGGGATCTGCATATAATGCTGGGAATGAAATCTAGCAAGAGCTCTTAGGGTGAAGTTTTGAGATCAGGTGACCCTGTTCTGAGTAGGTAGGGGATATGGATTGGATCACTCCATGTGGATGCAGCTGCCATGGTGTTTGAGTGTTACTGTTCAGTGACTGTGTGATGACATGTAGCTTTGCAGAGACCATCTAATCAGAGCTTTACTGTAAGTGACACAGGAGTGCTTTCCAGAGGGTGCTGCACCATCCTGGCTCTCGGTAGTCAGTAAAACAGTGGGGCACTGGGCAATGCAGGAACTGACTTCTGGTTAGTGCTAGTCCTGTGCCACATAGCTGTTTGGAGTTCTGTTCATTGCTTTGAATACTGTGGACCATATTAATAAATATCTGGTACTTCTTCTAGGTGTGATGACTACTTCTATATCAAGCACCGTGGCGAGCGAAGAGGGATTGGAGGCATATTCTTTGACGACGTGGACTCTCCCTCCAAGGAGGAAGTGTTCCAGTTTGTGAAGAGTTGTGCCAAAGCTGTTGTGCCTTGTTACATTCCCATTGTGAAAAAGCACCGCCATGACTCCTTCACGCCAGAGGAAAAGCTATGGCAGCAGCTTCGGAGAGGACGGTGAGTACTGAAGGAGCTAAAGAATACACAGGAGGTGGATTATGCTGGCAAGAAAAAAACTGAGCTAGTTCTTTACGGTTACAGGTTAATGTCCTGTTGTAGTGTGGGCTAAAAAAGCTCATCAGAGAATTTCAACATTTTTGTGCACAGAACTAATTTTGAAATCCAATGCTAAGTTGCCAAAAGGGGTGCAAAGAAGGTAGTAGCACGCCCTTATCTGTATTTCCCACCTTCCCATGTTAGAATACAAGCAACACAAACAAAATGCCAGAGTTTCTCTCCAGCTCTTTCAAAAACCAAGAGAAGCTGCTGCTGTGCAACAGGCAAAGGGGTATGGGTGTGCTTGGTGTCCTGAATCCAGCCCTCTCCTGCGGCCCAATCATATGGGATATAGGACTACCCTTGTCACATGAGGAGCCTGAGGGGGAGGGAATTGTGCTTCCTATTCAGTAATGAAACAAAACTTCACAAAGTCAAGAAGTAACTGTGCTCAAGTACCTTCACCTTCTTACATACATATTTGTTCCATCTGATCTTGGCATTGAAATGAGGATTCCTGTAAAGGAGTAAAGATACAGAGGGTTGGGTTTTTTTATTCTGGCATGGTCCAAAGTTGCTGTAACTTAAAGGACTTTGGAGGATGCTTCTAATGTGACCAACTGTTAATGTTGCAAAAGCTTAAGTACACTGGTCAATACAGTTGTACTCCGTTCCCTGTATCCTGTGATTGTGTAAGCACATGGAGAAATGAGAACACACATGCTTTGTGCAGAAGTAGGGTCTTCAGTTTCTGTCTCTTCTGCAGAGAAATCTGTGATACTGGCATGGAAAGAGTATAAGCATTTAAGTTTAGATCACTGGCCTGCAGCCATTAGTCAGATAAGCAAGTGTCCTTAATTTGGTGGGACTGTTCCTGGGAATGTGGGGCTTCCAGGATCTAGTCTGTGGATGGGATTTAGCAAACTTGCTAAGTTTATAAGGGGGAACAGCTTCTGTAAGCTGCAGCCAGAACCAGCTCTTGAGGCCTGCCTATTTCCCTGTGTCTGTTTGCAGGTTGTTTGGCTAGGTAAAGCTTTCCATTTTTGCAGATAGGTAAGAACTCTTCCCTTCCTGTATCTCTGTTAAATACTAACACGTCTGTACTAGCTACTAAGATAATCCCTGATGAATTGTCACTGCTCTGTTCCTATACTGTGGGCAGAAAAGTGGTATATTTTGATATTACAACTCCCAGCCAGCACTCTGAAGCTGTTTGACTTCTACTTCTTTCCAGATCTCCCCAAGAAACAAAAAATACTGTTCAGACCTTACTGCTTATGTGTCCTTCAGCATGGAGGACTGCAGAGTAGAATTCTTTCTCAGTTCCTTTAAGGCCCCTCTTTATGTCTGATGCCACCACACAAAAGAGAAAACCAAGGTAAACATGGTGTCGAGCTTGTCAGCAGGGTTGAGGCCTGGGAGAAGCACAGCACAGCACAGCAGCCTGCAGAATGCTCTCCTTTGAACAGTTTGTCTGCTCTAGTCTGTTTGCCAAGGTCACTACTCCCTGTGCTTTGTGGAGTGGCAAGGTGATAATTGCATTCCTGCAGAGGATGCTGAAGAACAGTTCACTCCAAAACAGGGTTCATTCTGACACCCAACACAGCAGAAAGATAGGCCGGTTTTGTTTGATATCTGCTAGTTGAAGAAGGCACAACCAACTTCTGCTAATAAACTTGTTTTTTCTTTGCATCTCTTCACTCCCTGTAGGTATGTAGAGTTCAACTTGGTTTATGACAGAGGTACAAAGTTTGGCCTCCTGACACCAGGATCAAGGATTGAAAGCATTCTCATGTCTCTGCCCCTGACTGCAAGGTAAGGGTGTAGCTATGTGGGACTGCAGGTAGGTTACTGTTCTTATTAAAATAGTTAATAGGATTAAATCAAAGGTCTGTCATGGTGTCCCATCACTTTACAGTGGCTAGTTCATGCCTGATACAAGAACTACCCAAATACATGCAGATGCTTCTCTGGTCTCCTACACTCAGCTAGTTGCCAGTAGTGTGTGACTGAGATATTTTCTGACAAAAAAAATGGATGGTTTTTGTGCTTAGTACCTCGATAGATTTTTCTCTCCTTGCTCCATGGATTTTTCTTTAGTAGCTCTTTGAAATCATGTGAGATTCTGGCAGTCCTGACAAATGTGTGACAAGGAGCTTCATAGTTTAACTGTGTGTTGTATGAAAAAGTGCCTCTTCGTTTTCTACTTGCCTCTAATGGCTTCGTTTGATTTTTCACTGAGTAACATGATTTTCTTGCTGTTGTGTTTCTCCATAACTGTTCTTATTTTACAAACTTCTGTTTTTTCATTGCCAGTTTTCCAGGCTAACAATTCCTGGTATTTTTCGTCTTTGTACAGTCACTGTTCCATCCTTTTGATCACATTTGCCACTTTCTCTAGGCTTAAGTTTTCTGTGCCCTTTCTGAACTAGGGATAAGGAACCAACACCATAAGATACATATGTGTATCCAAGATCATACACTGGCATAATGAAGTTTTAATTCATTATTCCTTTCATAATCCTAGTATTCTGTTTGCTGGTTTTGACTGCTGCTCAGCATTAAGCTGGCTTTTTCATAGAACTGTTACAATGCGAGAGTCTTTTCTGGGCAATAAAATTGAACTCAAATTTAAGTCAATCTGTATACAGCTTTTTCTGTGTCCATCATTTCACACCAATCAACAGTGAATTTCACCTGCCATTTTATTGCTCTGTTGCTTGGCTTAATACTAACTGTTTTCAACACTTTTTTTGTTTTAACCCATCTTGCTTACTCTTGCAATATCAGGAAATTCAGTCACTTACTGTTTACCCCCATTTTCAGGTTGCTTTTAGGTAACACTGAGTAGCACAGACCCTATAATGAATTCTGTAAAGTTTACTAGTGACCTCCTTCCGCCTCCTTCCTCCCTTTGCCTGCTGCCCCTTAACCATGAAGGCAGTCCTGTTCTCACCATATGCCTTCATCCCACTGCCAACACTACATGAGTCCCTGACCTGGTGGTGTAGCACACTCCTATCTTCGGATTTCGTTTCTAGGATGATCTGGTTTTGCTTGTTTTCATCAGTGTAAATAGCTTGCTTCACAGCATGAATGGTTCCTTCCTGGGGAAAAAATGGAAAGAGGATGTACCCATCTCTGACTGCTGATGCTTTCTCTGTCACGCCTCTTTTAATTGCCTTTTCAATAAAAAAGTGATCTTTCATCATCACCTTTGTTTTTAAAACCAAGAATCAACAAGGATTTGTAGAGCTTCCAGTCCATATTCTGGAAAACCTAAATCTTGTGTCCTCACTGTGAAAATTCTATGGGTTCCTTTTCTACTCATCTTCCTTATGATGTTAGTATGTCACAAGAGACTGCTAGAAGATTTTTGCAAATCAACCTGCGTGCATTTTGGGGCACGGGGGCGTTGCTCTTCCCTTTTTCCTTGTTCTTCCAGCTTTTTCAGAGGTTAGTAAAAAGATGAAGCTAACATTTTTCCTGTGTACGCCGGTGTTGATAATATTTGTTTTTACTGAACTTATTGTTTTTACTGAACTTACATATCTGTCTCCTGAGCTGAGTATCAACTATGTATTTAGCTTTGCATGCCCAAAAAAGGCAACTCCAGTCCAAACACTGCCTGGTCAGTGGCAGTGGTCAGTGGGGTCAGTCTCCAGGTCAGTGGGAGAGGTGGCAGCCAGCTGGGCAGTCTGAGTGAGTTTCCCCTCTCCCTGCAGGTGGGAGTACATGCACACTCCACCAGAGAGCTCCAAAGAAGCAGAAATCCTGGAGGTTCTGCGAAATCCCAAAGACTGGGTGCACTGACATGGATCATGAAGAAGATGGATTGCTCACGCTGAGCCATTTGAGAGAACGGGAACGCCTGCGAACCAGTTCATTGGCACTGCTGTTGCATGGCGTTTCATTGTGTCTATTTATAGCTTGCCTGGTGCCTTAATTATGCTGTAGACTTGTTACAACTTGCAAATACGTGAACTCACTCTTTTGGATTGATGGGCTAATATTGTCACCCCCTGTTGCTGTTGCCTTGTGAAGGACTGGTGATGGCCTCACAGGGCTACTGTGCATGTTTTAGGACTTTCTCAACTCATGTGATTGACTGCAAAATGGCAAATTACTGTGAAGTGTTCTCCCAGTGAAATGAAAGCGTTATCTGTGCCTAATTAGCACTGCTTACCCTTAGAAAATGTTTGGATGCTTAAACACATTTTTGTAAAGAATAAAGGGAATATTTTATATGATTTTAAACCTTAAACTCTGCTTTCGGGAAGTTGTGGAAAAGGTGGTACTTAATCACATGTATTTTGATGCTGCAGTAGCATGACTTGGCCGATCAGTACCTGGGAGAATCCGGGTTGGGGCACCATGTTACGTGAGGGGAGGGGAAGGCTGGCTGTCCATTTGAGGAGAAAATCTTTCAGCATTGAGCATGTCAGCTGTGACTCAGGCCAGCTCCTTTGCCAAGGAGGTCAGAGATGCATCAGGTGTTGCCCGTTGCCCCCAGGGTCTCTAAATAGCACTTCACGCTGTTCCCAGCCCCGGAATGATTGTTCTTTTGACTCTCGGCACAAACCTAGTCGAGGAACGTCTAGGGAAAAGCAAAGGGAGGCCGAGTCTCATTTCCCCTTGCCTGAGGAAAAAACGACAGCTCCATCTCCCCGTCGGGGAATCGAACCCCGGTCTCCCGCGTGACAGGCGGGGATACTAACCACTATACTAACGAGGAGCGGGATGTCCGGCATTCCCCTTCCGCCACCACGGCCTACGACCTCACCTGTCGCGGGTTCCTGAGCTGCGGGTGACGGCTGTCCCTGCGCCCAGGTGGCGTGGGGACATGTCTCCCGTCGGCTCAAGGTCGCTGTCGCCGCCTGATCGCCCAAGTCACGCTTCCCGCCGGGGGCCACCGCGTTCACTTCCGTGTTACCATCCGCCACTAAAATAAAATTAAGTAATAGTCTGCTAAATCGGCCATCTCCTCACCTTCAGGGGAGAAAACGGAATGGCCCGTACGGGGATCGAACCCGCGACCTTGGCGTTATTAGCACCACGCTCTAACCAACTGAGCTAACCGGCCTTCGTGCATCCCTCCTGGGTGCGCGCACCTGAGCCGCTACTACGGACACGGCGCGGG